CCTAGAAGCAAAACTGCAAAGAGATGCACAATAAAAATTAATCTAATCGCAGCACGTAAAACTGCCTGTAACTTTGAACGAAGCTTATCTACCATCAACGCTAAGGTAACTGAACAGTATGTCTTAAACCACAAAACATCAAACAATTTGTTAAATCCAAATCATCTATCAAAACATAATCATATACTTCTCCTTGTCTCCTTCTAGTAACATTAACATGAGTCCTTCATTCAATTATCCATCTCCATGGCTTTAATCATGAACCATAGTCAACTACATTCTATCAACAACACGCAAAAGAAAAGGTTATTTACATTCATTCACGCGCCTAAATTACCAGCCATTTCAATCCATTTATGCTAGCGATCATCAATCCAAATTTCGACGCAGTAAAAAATAAATGATCTTAATTGAATGACTTACATGAAGAGCAACCACAAAGTGACGGAAAGCGACAAGAAACCGAAGAGAAACTTGACAGGCGAGGCTGCCATTTTCGTAGTTTCTCGACTTCTTCCACAGCTAATTATCCAAATAATAAGCCACAAAATAATATTCAAATACAGAAAACTCTCTATGCCATAATTTCAGGTCGCAACCCACAAATGCATCAAAATAGAACAATCGAAACCCTAAAAAAGCTAAATTTCTTCACAGTTCTTTTTTCCATCTTGCGAGTCAATTGAGAGAAAGCCGCGTTGATCGCGTTCGTTTTTCTTTTTTCTTTTTCTTTTTTATTTATAAAAGCGTAGATCCGATCCGTGAGACGCTCGTTGATCACACACTGAGAGAGACATGGAAGAGAGAGAAAGACTATTTATTTTCTTTATTCTTTTTACCCATTTTGAGGGGTTTTATCAAGTGTAATGAGGGTGCAGGGATTATAGTGTGGAGGGATGTTTCTAGGGAAACGTGCTTCAGATGTCGTTGTTGGAGGGAACGTGTCCTTCGTAACTGGGTTGATTTGGAGGCCATTTTGTCAGCGGAGAGTAAAGACAGCGTTACGGGCACGCAAATAAACTACACGTGATGGTTCAAAATCATTGGTCCACGGTGGAAATTCGACCGTTAAAATGGGGGTCGTTGAACGGAAGCCCGTTATTGGAAGCGGACCAATAAGAACAGAAGCCCAAATCAGCTTTTCTACAAAGATCCTACCAGTTGGCCCAAATTAGCAATACTATATTTACTGGCAAAAAAATAACAAATCTCAAGTGTTCATCAGGTTTGTCCAAAAATACTAAAAAATTAATTAAATAAAAAAAATTAACATAAAAAACTAAATTAAAAAATAAAACTAAATAAACCAATTAAAAAACCTAAAAAAAACCTAAGAAAAAAACTAGTTTAATTTTTAAAATATTAAACCGAATCAAACCAAATCTATTCAGCCAACATTTAAACCCATTATAAAAAAAAATTCTAAAACTAAACTTCTCAAACCTTCAACTTTGAACTTGCCCCCTTCTCTCAAATGTCTTCCCTCTCTCACCACTCTCCCTTTCTAATGCTTTGCTCTCGGCCACCCCTATCTCCTAAATATATGTCCTCTCTCAGTGCTTTTCTTCTCTAATCATCTAATGTTTTGCAAGTGGTCCCTCTCTCACCACTCTCCTTCTCTAATTCTTTGGGTCAAAAGATTCAAAACTCAAGCCTTTGTAAATGGAAGATGAAGGGATAGAAAAAGGTTTGTCCTAAATTTTTGTCTTTTCCTTTCCATATTGTATACTCCATCATTATTATTTATAAACAAAGGGTACAGAGATAGAAAACGTTGTTTGTTGTCTATTTATGCATAAAAGAGATGTGTATTAAGGATATTTTTGTTTAATTTTTTCTCTCAGTTTCATGGATTTTACAGGATTGTTTTGAGTATCATTATTTTGCACTTTGTAAACGGCTAAAATCCTTGCCATTTAGACGAATCAATTCATCATCGATCTTCTTCATTTTTTGGCATCGGCTTGCCCTTCACAAGAAACATAACTTGATAATATTGGTTTTTTCAATTTTTTTCTTTAATTAACCAAACCAAACCAAACTGAAAATGGTCAATTTGAACCGGTTTCGGTTCTGGATTAAGAAAAAATAAAAATTCAATTTGATTAGTATTTTCAAACAAAAACTGAACCAAACTAAAAATATTCACCTCTAGCATTCAGAGAGAGCCGAAAGGGAACCCTAAAACCCTAGTTCCTCTGTTATTGGTGAATGCTAACAGAAAAATAAAGGAAGCTACTAAAAAGAACAAAGTCAAATCATAAAAAAGTTAGCTTTTGATATTTTCACTTCTCAATATGATAATTGAATTAGGGTATGATGCTTTTGTTTTTATGGATTTAACTTTTAATTCCTTTTCTTCTCCTTTTTTCTCTCTTTTTTTTAATTAGTGGAGCTCCACACTTAACTATATTTTTTTCTGCTTTTTTAAAAAACACCAGCGCTGTCTCAAAATATTTTTTCATGTTAGGAAAGCTTTAACTTAGAGCGTGTTTGGGAGTATGGTTGTTGTTGCTTTTCAAAGTGCTTTTTATATAGAAAAGTGTGTCAATAATATTTTTTTATTTTTTAAAAATCATTTTTAAAATCAGCACATCAAAATGATTTGAAAATATTAAAAACATATTAGTTCAAAGCAAAAAAAAAAAATTCAAATTTTTTCGGAAGCGCTTTTCAAACACAGTGCCAAACACCCTCTTAGTCTGTAACATAAAAAAGACTATTCATGGATATTTTTGACAAGAGCGATCTTAAAGATTCATTTGCATGCATGGAGACTAACTATTCATGGAGGTTTTTATTAAGACCAGTCATAGAGATTCGTGAAGATCATTTAGGAAGCCTTTTCATCACTATTGGTTATGGAAATATGTTTACATGCATGGTAGGCAATCCCCTTCTTAATTTCAGCGTAAGTTTTGCCATATTTGGATATGATCGATGGTGTTTGGTCTTATGGCATAAAAAGTTAATTTTTCCCAGATTGATGTTATGAGTGTACTTTGGTATTTTTCTATGTAAGGATATTTTCCCTTGTCACGTGAGTTGTAATACATTCAGGGATCTTGATAATGAAGCATTATTGGTTAGGAAGTTAGCATCTTTTGCATGTCCCACCTTTCTAGAATATCTACCAAGGAAATAGCTAAAAGACAATTAATTAAAGAAGGCATAGGAAAAGGAAAAGTAAAAAAAAAAAACACAATAAAGCAAGAATGGACACACACACACACAAAATTGGGTGGAAAAATAAAAAAACATGGCAGATATTACGAGTAAAAAGAAAAAAAAGAAAATAGGCAGGGAAATCAACACCAGAAGCAATGAATGAGCTAAACCTCTCGATACACAAACATAATCAAGTTGTGCTTAGATGGATAACAGAGTCTATGTTTTCACACTCTATGAATGTTATGGTCCATCACATTTTACATTATGCCCATTGAAAAGAAACTGATGCTTATGGTAAGGCCTGGAGATCCTACAAAGGAATAAACATGGTCCTTGATAAATCTAGATTTATGCAATTTGTACCTAAGGGAGTTTAGCATATGATTCAGTTGTTTATTTGAGAACTCTATTTCCAAGGATTTCTCATTTTTTTGTTTGCAGATTTTGTTGATACCAGTTATTGTAGAGAACACTAGTTTTCTTTTCTTTTTTTATTTCCATTATATCAGAAAAAGAAACCTAAAACATGCATAACAACAACTTACATAGAATAAAAGAGAGCAAAACCTCACCTGAGAAACAAAAATTATGAATATAGGCAGGGGAACCAGCAATGGCAACAATAAATGGCTTGAATATCTAGACAAGTAAAAGAATAAAGAAAAAACACAACTATATAAGGAGAAACAAACAGGTAAAGTGGAGTGCAAAAAAAAATGATTATTGTTTATAAAATAATATGTCCTCAAATATGGCAAGCCAAACATCATGATTTATGGTAAAAAAAAAAAACACTCAATAAACATGTAATTTGATGGTGTCATTTATTTATTCTATGGTGGAGGTAAAAATTAGATTTTGTTTTATTGAAATCATCACATCAGCTTCTTTGATTTATTATGAAATTATAAAAACTATTAAAAAATTGAGATTATGATAAACACCTCTCCACAGTCCACATTTTAAAAAAATATTGAAAAAAGCTATATTTTATGTCCAAGAATTCTTAATTACTATTTAAATTAACAAAAAACAATTATCAAAATATGAATGGATATGATAATTTATTTTTTAGATTAATATGGATGTTCAGGCTAGCTTGCAGATATCTCGATTAATTTTATGGGTCTTAAAGTTAACAAATATACATGCATATAGTGACTCTAATATTTGTAAGATCCAAACTGATGATTTTTAAATAGCAAACCCAATATCTGATTGGTTGAGTTTTATCTCAAAAATTAAATGAATATGATAATTATTTAATATAATGGATGAGCAACATAAAATTCACCTTTTAGTTTTATTCTATTTCTTTAACTTCCTTTCTCAAATTATTAATGTATTTTTTAATTTAATTATTTTCAAAACATTTAATGAGTCATGCAATTTCATATTGTTTCAAATAGGTAAGAAATTTATGGTTCTTAAAGAGTAATTAATATATCCTATTAATTATTTTATGGACATCCTTTAAAGAAAAAAATAGATAGAATTAGAAAAGAAAAATCTTAGATGAAAAATATTCTTATTATTTTTAGTGGCTTATAGGCTTAGTTTTTTTTTTTTTTTGCATTTTTTTAAGATAAACTCAATAAATAACTACTAGATTACACTATTTTCCTTGACACCTTCAAATTTTCATAGGGGATTATTATAATTTTACCTCATTTTTTTTTAAAAAAAAAACAGAAAAGGAAAGGAAGTATAATTTTGGGGCCGGGTCGCTAACCCTCTCATCCACGGTCCACTAATCAAAAGAGTAAAAATTAACGGTCATATAAATTTGAATTTTGAAAACCTAAGATCTCCCTTCCTCATCAGCACGAGCGGAAAAAGAAAGCGCATAACATAACAAATTAAACACGCTCCAAGCTCTCTTTCCCTTTTCTCTTCCAAACAAACAGACTATACAGAATTCTCTCTCAGATCCCAGAAATTCTAAACCTAAAAGACACCTCGTGACCAAAATCCCGCAAACAAGAAGATAGGCACTTTCCCAATTGACGGCCAAGATTTCATGGATTCCATGCTGTGCGTTTCGGGTTCGAGATCGATCCAGTCAGGGTTAACAAACACCAATAATTTCAAAGGTTTTATTTTACTTTTTTAAATGAATACTAAACATTCCTTTTTCCTTCTTAAATGTTACAAGTATTATTAACAATAAACTTCAAGATTAAAGGTATAAGCATGAGTTTTTGTGTTTCTTGAAACAGAGAGGCCAGTCATATTTGTAAACGCGGGAGGCGGGGGTATAAAGAAAGAGGGGGATATCAATCTTGATATTGAGAAAGATTGCTGTTTTGAAGGTGGAGATGTTATAAGAACAGATGAGACCATAATCAATGGTGGTGATATACCTTCTGTTTATCAATCAGCAAGGTTTGGTACCAACTTGAGATACACGTTCAATGACATGCCGGCTGGAGAGTATTTGGTTGATCTTCATTTTGCAGAGATAGTTTACACTAATGGTCCTAAAGGAATGAGAGTCTTTGATGTCTTTATTCAAGAAGAGAAGGCAAGTGCACTCAGTCCTCCCTCTCTCTCTCTCTCGATGAATTTATTTGTTTTAAAACGAGAAAGTTTTTTTTTATAAAAAAAATGGCAGGTTATATCAGAGCTTGATGTGTACTCTTTTGTTGGTGCCAACAAACCGTTGCAAGTGGTGGATGTTAGGGTTTCTGTCGGGGAAGATGGGGTGATTTTTATGAGGTTTGATGGGGTTGTAGGGAGCCCAATAGTTAGCGGGATCTATATAAAGCAGGCGACTGAATTGCGAAGTAAAGCTATCGTTTCCGTTTTATATAGCCATATTGGTCCGTCCTTTTAGGTTCGTTTACGAGACTCAGGTGTTTCCTATCTTATAAATTGAATGCAGAATCATCGGTTAAACAGGAGCTTTTACAGTGTAACAATTGCGCCGCTGAGGTAAAAGTTTCATCTGATCAGGTGAGATGCAATTTGTATTGACGGGTAGTTTTTTGAAATTTGAAGTGAAGACTTGAGTTTTTGCTTAAACTTAGCCTTAAATTGATGTGGACTGCAGAATAGAGTTATGAGGACGAACTCTTTAGCAAGATATGAAAAGAAGATAGAGGAATTGAAGGCTCAATGCCAACTCAAGACAGATGAATGCCACGAGGCCTGGATGTCACTGACTGCGGCGAACGAGGAACTCGAGAAGATTAGGATGGAACTTGACAACAGGTTCTTCAGAAATATGCAATTAGGTAATATAGACCCAATTGGATTTGAGGCTTGTTACTAGAAACTGAAGCGACGCTGACCAGGTTTTGATGTTTGTTTAGATCAAGACATGCAAAAGCATAAAGCAGAATTGAGAGATGTTTCTAGACGATATGAGTGTGATAAGAAACTGTGGGCTGCAGCCATTGATGATTTTGAAAAGAAAATAAAGGTAAATTACTTTTTGAATGACAAATGTTATGTGGAAATGTTTGGAAATCAATTTGTATATCTGTGATAATACCATCTGTTGATCCATTCGTAGATGATGAAGATAGAGCACTCTCAACTCTTCCATGAAGCTCATGCGTGTGCCAATACAATTCCTGAATTAAACAAGATGATAATTGCAGTTCGAGACATAGGTAATCTTGCATCAACTGTAAAATTAAATTGATAGACAAAAAATTGTAAGATTTTTCTGAATTGCAGTTGCGCAACATGAAGACCTCAAACTGAAGTTAAATGAAGAGCAGGCAAAGAGTAAGAAGCTTTATAACCAAGCGCTGGAGGCAAAGGGTATACTTAATATTCTAAACTCGGGTTCATTTTTTCTCTTTCTTGATTGAACCATTCTAAGTTTTTTTCTTTTCTTCTGCTTCTGCTTCTTCTTCTTCTTCTTCTTTTTTTATTATTATTTAATATCTCAGGGAACATAAGAGTGTTCTGTAGGTGCCGCCCGTTGACTAAGGAGGAGATGTCAATTGGCTGTCAAACAGTGGTAGATTTTGGTGCTGCTAAGGATGGTGATCTTACAGTAATTACAAATGGCTCCACTAAGAAAATTTTCAAATTTGATCGAGTCTACGCTCCCAAGGACGATCAAGGCATGCACCTCTGAAATGCCTTTTCTTTTCTTTCTTTTTTTCAACTGTCAACTTACTGAACAGTACTTGGGTTTTGTGACATGTAATCCACTGCTACTGGTTTGGTTGATGTTTATAGTAAAAGATTTCTTGTTTCTCTGAAAAACTCCTTTTGAACTTTAACAATACACACAGTGCATGCTTCTTTTATTATACATAATCCATTTTTGAATGCATTTATATTTTCCAGGTGCAACCTAGTTTTACTAGTCTTTCTGATGATCACTTCAATATTTTATCTCTTCAATAAGTTCTATAGTAAGCATAAGAACCCTATTTTTCTAATGGAGAGAAGAGTGATGACCAGCCTTTTATTGAATTTGAACAGAGCAGCTTCAGAGAAATGTCCTTCAAAACTATGTAACTTGTAGTTTGGTTAGTTTTGGACGGCAAATAGTGGACAAATTGGTTATTTATTCAATTTATTTTTCTTAGGGTGAAACGAAAAGGTTCACATGTTGACTATTGTTTTTTAAACTAAAATAGTTGATGTCTTCGCGGATGCTTCTGCTCTGGTGACCTCCGTGTTAGATGGTTACAATGTTTGCATATTTGCGTACGGGCAAACTGGAACCGGAAAGACTTTCACTATGGAAGGTACCAAGCAAAACCGAGGAGTCAACTACCGAACTTTACATCAATTATTTAAAATTGCTGAGGAAAGGAAAGAAACTGTCACATATGACATTTCTGTTAGCGTACTTGAAGTTTACAATGAACAAATCAGAGACTTGCTAGCCACCTCAACAACAACAACAAAGAGGTATTATCATTGTCCTACAAATTTCGTTCAACTTTTTTTTAAAAAAAAGTTGGTTGAGAAGGAATTTGGCTTTGTAATTTGATCGTACTGATATTTTATGGCTGTTTTCTCCATGCAATTGTCAAATTAACAAGATCTCGTCTAAGAATATATTTGTGTTTTAGGTTGGATATAAAACAAGTATCTGATGGGGTCCAGCATGTTCCGGGGATAGTTGAAGCAAAGGTCGAGAATATTAAGCAGGTCTGGGATGTTTTGCAGGCTGGAAGCAATGCAAGGGCCGTGGGGTCAAACAATGTGAATGAACGTAGTAGCCGATCTCATTGGTCAGTGCCTATTTGAACTTGGTTTCGCCATGCTTAAGTTTTAAGTGTTCATTGATGGAACTCTCTCTATATTATTTTTACTGCAATTCATTTCTTTACTATCAAGCTTTATGTTAACAGAATAAAATGTTAAATTTACGTATATATTGACATTACCATATTTTTATGTGTTTAGCATGCTTTGCACAATGGTCAGAGCAAAGAACTTGGTAAATGATGAGTGCACTATGAGCAAGCTATGGCTTGTGGACTTGGCAGGCAGTGAGAGGCTGGCAAAAACAGATGTTCAAGGGGAACGACTCAAGGAAGCTCAAAATATAAACAGATCACTTTCAGCTCTTGGGGATGTTATTTCTTGTTTGGCAAATAAGAGTAGTCATATTCCATACAGGTTCCCTTTGAATCTTGATGTGTAATATTCAAATATGGCTTGCAAATTAAATTATTCTGACTTCCTCTTTTGGTTTTTGACAGAAACTCGAAGCTCACACATTTACTCCAGGATTCGTTGGGTAAGTAGCTACAAGAAACATAAGTTCGTATCCAGTATCAGAGTCTCTAATATATCAGCTATTAGCATTGCAAATATTCTTTTACTCATGACAACATATCAAAGTAATAATTTTTGTTTTAAAATGAGTTATTCCAAGCAAAAGGAGCGATTATAGCCAATGATGCATCACTGACAATGATATAAGGGATAAAAAATGGTTAGAACATAGAATACAATAGATGCATTAAGTTTGTATGTTTCCATCGTTGACAAGTAAAAGAGCATTGAAATACTGTAAAATATATGGTGTATACACTATACAGTGCTGGGATGCATTAGTTCGGCTGCAAAAGCTATATGCTCAGAAAACACTTCCAAGTGGTTTCTTGTCATGAACACCACTTAAAATTATTCAAATGCTTAAGACTTTTATAGTATAATAAGATTAATAATCATCCTAAACCTTCATGTTTTCCAGGAGGTGATTCGAAAACCCTTATGTTAGTTCAAATCAGCCCTTCTGATCATGACATAGGAGAGACTCTAAGTTCTCTAAACTTTGCAACTCGGGTTCGAGGGGTTGAGTTGGGTCCTGCGAAGAAGCAGATTGATATGGGAGAGCTTCAAAAGTTAAAAACATTGGTAAGCTTATAGATAGTAACAGACATTTTATTATATTGATGAAAGGAAAGGATGATCAACTAGGTTTTATTCTTTCTGTGAATTCTTTGAAGCTTGACAAAGCAAAGCAAGAATTGAGATCTAAAGATGATGCCATGCGCAAGCTAGAAGAGGGTTTTCAAAATGTAGAGGGTAAGGCCAAAGTCAAGGATCAGCTTTTCAAAAACCAACAGGAAAAGGTCAACGAACTAGAGAGTCAACTTGCATCAAAGACAGAGTTATGCAGGCAGCTAGAGAAGCAGCTGTTACAACTTTCAGAAGGAAAGAAGGAAAAGGAAGAAATTTGCTCAGATTTCCAGCAGAAGGTTTCTTGTTAGATAAACGGTTTTACTTCATATCGTTTCTTTGAATAATAATCTGGCAATTGACTCCGATGCCTTTCATAGGTCAACGAGCTTGAGAAGAAGCTGAAAGAGCAGGAAGAAGCAGCGTCTATGAATCTTCATTGCAAGGTTTTTACAATCTTAAAGTACAATAGAAAATTTTGAAGTTGTGTGACTGCATGAGTAAATATATTAGGACAAGAGAGGTACATCGAAGTGGTTGAATGCAGTCCCCGCTATCTTGAGTTTGAGACACCAATTTCCCACCATCCCCCACTGGCAGACACTGGGCACTAATACTTGAAAAATGGAGGTCTTAGATTTAGTGGATCTTCAAATAATGTTGTTCCTCTAATCATGATGGTTCATATTAATCTACATTTACTGGATTTCAACGTGATGGCAGGGATTGACCAGCAGCACTTTTGTGTACTAAATATTTACTTGAACAATGCCAATCATTATGTTTGTGATTCCTTTTGTCAATTATACGTTGATTTTTCATGTTGTGAACAAAAAAGGAAACACTCTTCATTTTGTTGTCAGACTGATAGAGAGTTTTAGGTGCTGAAGTTGGAATAGTTATTTTTCTTGTGTTATACAGGTCAAGGAGCTTGAAAACAGAATGAAAGAGAGAACACAGGAGTTCGAGCTTCATACAAAGAGGTTCCAACAAAAGGTGCTGCTTACACTGTTGTCTGCTGTTATGAAAATCCACCAATCTAGCACACGGTTAACACCATTATTGTTGTGTTGTAGTTGAAGGAAGCTGAAAACAAACTATGGGAGAAAGAAAATTCCGAATCTCAGTCACTTCAACACAAGGTTTTTTCTTTCTTCTTCTTCTTTTCTTTAATGTATGTTTCTATATAATTTTTGTAAAAAGTTCTGGCCATTACGATGTAACAATTATATTTTTGCCATGATTTACGTAGATCAACGTTCTTGGAGAAGAGCTAAGACAACATGAACAAGGAGATTGTTTGCCAAGGCCACCCTCTGCTGAAAAGTCAGAAGCCACTCCAATTTTGTCAAGAATGGAAAACATATATGACGTTGATCCACTTGGTCAAAAAAGCTTAAACTCCACGAACCGAACAATAAACCAAGAGCCTAGCTTACTCCAGGGAAATACATCCCTCCGTGAATTGAGGAGGAAAGGAGACATTAAGAGCAGAGGGACGGAGAATAATTTCTTGGTATCAGCTTCTTCGCTCGAGAAGAAGAGATTGCCAACTGAATCAAGCAAGGCAAAGCATCTTGACTCTTCTAGAGCATCAGCAAAGATTTCAAGTTCGAAATCAATTCGTGCTGCTCAGAAGACAACCTCCAATACTGCAAACAGAATCAACAAAGATCAAGGTGCAGGAGCAAGGGATAACAAATTCAAAGTTTGGTTGAGGTGAAAGTTTTATTGCCTTTCCAGCTAATGTGATTTGTAAAACTGCCAGTGATGATTCTTTTCAAGCCCTTTCTTATATGTTAGCAGAACATAGATTAGGTGAAGGTCGTTTGAATGTACTTGCAATTTCTCATTTAGAGAAATGAAAGTGATTTAATGAAAGCATATATGTGAAAAGAAGTGTCTGGATTTTTTTTACTATTCTTTTTCTGTGGTGTTTAACATATTAAATTAGATCTTTCAAAACCATCTCTTCATTTGTGACGGTGTTTACAAAATAATAATAATAATAATAATAAAAGAAATGCAATCCAATCTTGATTGTGGTTGACATAAGCACTGTATAACTTCACTAAAAACAAATTAATAATATTAAATAGAGCAGTGCCTTCTGCATTCTTAATAGGGTTTTATGTGAATCGCTTTACAACAATTCTGAGATTATTTTAATTCTTTGCCAGATTTCGAAAATCAACAACGGAAGATCATAGATTGAAAGTTTCCCGAGAAACCCAAATAAAATTACTATTCGAAATTCAAAATAAATTTATGAACTCTGTGAATTGAGCCTAATAGACACAGTGTATTGATGCTATAGGGACAAGAATAATATAAGATGAGACACTGACGATGAGATTATATGTTTGATTCTATATATATATTAACTATTTTTATTATTATCACCTTAACTACTACCCCACAATCATTATTAATAATGGACTCATGATATAATAATATTTTTTATTAAAATATTATTATTATATTTATTGCATCACCATCAACCACTCTTTCACAAGCTCCATCATTTTTCATCTACCACCACCACATTCTTTCTCTGTAACTTCCTTCGTGATGGTGGCATTAATTTTATTTTTTAATATATATATGTTGGTTTTATTACTATATTATTATTACAACCATTATTAATTTTATTTTATTTAAAAATGAGATATTAAAAATTTTAAATTTTATATGATTAATTATTTAATATTTCCTTTTTATATTAAAAAACAAGACATTAAAAATCTTAAATTTTGCTAGGATTTTTTTATTAATATTCCTAACATAATATTAAAATTAAGATGCTATTCTATGTTTATAATTTTTATTTCGATTACTTCATTTCCATTTTGGACCAAATGACATAAAAAAGGTTTCTAGTAAAAGTAAGTTTGGCATGTGGTTTAAGAATTCTTATTTTAATTCTATTTAGTAGGGAAAAGAATTGTGGTCCGAGTTAATACATACATACATACATACATATATATATATATATATCATTGCATTGTCTTTTTTTATCTCAATTTTTAAAAATTGGATGGGATTTTTTTTGTTTGATATTTTACATCTTATATGTTTTAAATAATAATATTTTTTCCTAAAGTAAAATTTTGATATTATATGCCACGCAACAATTTTATACACGTACAATTACATAAAAAAAATAGATTGGTAGGAAGACAAAAATTTATGATATACTTTATTATATATGTAAGATTAATGAAAATAAAAAAGATAAATTGATATAGAGGAAAATGTTAATAAAAAGGGATAATTACAAAAAACAAAAAAAAAACCTTTCTATAGTTTGCTCCTTGTTTCATTTTGTGTCAAATTGTAACATCCCATAATTTTTAATATGATTTCATATTTCTTGATGGGAACTTATGAATAAAAATTGGGGCATTTTTTTTTTATCATAACTTGTATCACTCGAATTACATTATATATGCATATCAACATGCAAATGATTTTCCATTTAAGCTAATAAGTATATTCATTTTTAAAAAATAAAAAAAAGTGGCAAAGTTTCCTCTATTCGTAAGCTTCTCTAAATTTTCAATTTTCCATTCACAATCATCACACAAACACAACGTGGCCTCATACATACATTCCACTCTAACCATTTATACCAGTATAACACATGTATCATAATATAAATATACATGCAGACATGTATAATATTTCAGGGAATATATTTCACAATATATAAAAAAATCAATCTTTTCTTTTTTATACGTTCAAAACATTTAAGTTTAATTAAATTTACATACATCAAGTTTATTTACATAATACAAATAGCATATATAAAAATCCTACCTATACAAAACTATACATTTATTAAAAAAAAAAAACATTGTTGTGGTGGTGGTAAAAATAAAAAATATAATTATGTAGACAATAAATAAATATAAAATCCTATCATGTTTTATTATTCTAAAACTACAATATAACTATTATTTTTCATTTTTTTTAACATTGTTGTGATTAATAGTTTATCATCACATAACTAGTCAGCAATCACACAACTAACTCACTTAATTTATATCTTTACCCTCACCAATAAGACATAACTCACTTAGTTCATATCTTTAGCCCTCACCAATAAGGAATACTCCTTTTTTATGATATTTACTTTTCTCATATGCATATTCTCTTTTAATATCATTTTTAGACAAAGAAATCATTTTTCTAATATTATTTCTCCTTGTCTTAAAGGCATAATTTAGAAAACATAATCTTTGATGATAATGTTTTCTCCGCCCGAAGGCATGATCTCTTATGATATAAATTTATCGCTCCAAAAACATAATTTTTCATGATAAATAGTTTGTACACAATACATATAAAAGGTTCCTTCTGCATTCTATCATTACAAAAATAATTTAATAATCCAAGAGACAATGAGGTAACCCTTATCTAGAGCTCTTGTCATATATGCTCTTGAGAAGTTAGGTTTCACTTTAGTTGTTCCTCCTATAATTCCTCAAAGATAACCTATGAATATTTTTTTTTTTTGCCAAAATCAAGCATTCCTTCATTCAATGACCATTCTAAGTCAAGCATAAAGGTATACAAGTTACTACGAGTATTTGTATATTCTTAGTTTATCTCAACTTTAACTACCATATAAATAATGTATTCATGCTTCATCAATAACATAAGCACATTGTACTAGATTACACTCTCATATGAAATTTATTTTCCGTCAAATATCCAATTTCATCCAAACTACAATGTACATTTAACAAAAGCTTTTACATTATCCACGATACCTCAAAAACACACTTTCATACTAAAATTTATATATGAACACAAACTTCCAAAACTTCTATGATATTGAGAATACAACAAACTTAATCCAGTCCATATCAACCCACTTTAATGTTGATACATATGTCACATGCGGGTGGTGTCGTGGTGAAAAAAATTGCATTCAAATCCTAGAATATAGTTGTCCTTCAAAAATCAGGAAAAATTGAGAGACAAAAAATTCTTATCTTTTATATGTGAAAAAATAGAAAAGGAGTCGTCACTTAGTATTTTGGTCACTAGAAACTCTAACTAATCTCAGAGATTGAATGCGGGGACTAATTTAGTAAAGAAAAGGTATTAGCACCTCAAACTCTACCTAAAATTAGGTACATTGTTTTATTGTCTAATAAAATTTAAGGTCTTGTCATATTTTCTAGTTGTTGATCCGTCTATGGTAGTTCTTCTCGGTAAAAAGATCCTTATCTTATTGTATGAAACTTAATCATTCTAATATCAACAAAAGAATTTAATATTCAAAATACATCTTACATATAAGGTCATAACCCTAAATATTAAAAGAAAACAAAATAATTTTTTTGAAATTTTTGAAATATTAGTCTAGTTCTCATGACTTTAATAAATTGGTTATTAAAGCCAAAATATATGCTAATAAATATTTTAAAAAAACAATTTGTTGTATAAAAATACAATATGATTTTTTTCTTTTATTTTTGAGAGACTTGGTCAGATACAAGAAAAAAAAACATATATAATAAAGTATATCATAAATTGTTGCATGGTGGGTAGCTAAGGTTAGTTGTTTCCTCTACTGAAACGGTTCCCTAGTACAATGAAGAAGATGATGAATAATGTCCTTTCAAACGGCGTTGTTTGGGGATGTGAAATGATCATTTTTAGTTTGGTCACTCAAGTTCTGAAATTATAATTTGACATCTGAACTTTAATTTCTTTCAAATAAATATCAAATTGAATTAAAAATAATTTTTTTCTTACAATTCAAACCCTTTATTAATTCAATTAAACTTTAAGTAAAATTTAATTGAGTTCATAAACATTTAATTTTAAACTTTTCTTTCTTAAATTAAATTTTTATTGCCAATAAGGCTCTCTTCAGTTAAAAATACACTGTCAAATTTCAATTCTTGTATTTTTAAACCTTCTCAACTAATTTCTAGCTATTTTATAAACATTTCTTCATTTCTATTATTTTTTGGATTTCTTCTATATATTTTTTATTTATTTTTATATAAAAACCTAAAAATAGATAACAACAATATACATCAACATTTCATCACTTTTAGAATTTCCCGCAAGTTTCCCTAATCAAGGCCGAGCACTGCAAATTTTAAATTTGATGGTAGATTCCTGGCCATGATAGCTTTAGTTTGATGATAGTATTGGTTAGTTTCTTTATTATGATTTTCACTCTTCGTTCTATATTTCCTTGTCTTTTGATCGGCGCTAAGATTAATAACTGATGACCATGACTTGTAAATTTGGAAACAGAAAATTACGAGGAAATTTTTGGAATGAAGTTTCATTGATCCATGTCCTACTGCCGTGTTAATGACGAAGGAAATCGAGCTTGCTCACAAGGAGATTGAGTTTCACCTCCCTTTCCAGAAACCAAACATGTTTATTTCCGAAACCCTACCCATGTTTATTTCCGAAAATTTATTATGTTGTGAATCGAACGTCATGACCCCACCGGCCCACCCGCCACAAAATCCTGTAAAAGTAAAATGAATTTTCAATAATTTAAGTTCAACGCAGTTACTTTGCAGCCTTGGTGCCTGGAGAGCATGAGTTGCGACACGAAATGGAAGCTGGTGTCCTCCCCCAACACCAAGGAATTGGCTGCGATTATCGCGTTCAACTCGTTGAGAAAACCTGCAATGGCCATAATCACTGAACAAGCCCCAAAACAAATTTCAGGTAAGAATGAAAACCACAAGCAAATAGCACAGGTTGGCAAATTGAAAAACTGCCAAAGGATTTCCCATAGCCAATTATAGGACGGCTGTACAGTATATTAACATGTTTCAACTCAACATCTCAATGCCACAGAATTCTTTTCTAATCATGGCCTGTGACACACATTATCTACAAATAACTTCTGCAATACCCCCATAGCTTAACCGAATCCA